GCCCAGCCCAACTTTGAGTTTTCCAGGCAGGGCGAGAGGCAAAGCCAGGAGGCCGGAGAGCAAGGAGATCCAAAGCCCCTCTCCAAGTCTACACTCTCTGAGATTGGGACGGGCAGCCAGCCCCGGCATGGGACTCAGGAGCATGAGATGTGGAGGCCGGAGACGATGATAGAAGCTTATGCTCCTACTCAAAGCCGTGTGTCCTGGGCATGTCAAGTCCCCTTCCCGAGCCTCAATTGCTCTACCTATGAGGATGATTCCCAAAGGACGCCAGGGTAGCAGTGAGACCTCGGACAACTATCCATGGGGTCCAGGTCTTAGAGGAGCAGAGGGAAGTAGACCCAGGCCCTAAGGGCCACCAGGCACTTTCCTATAGGGCCCTAACTACATCCTGAAAACCACGGCAATAATAGACAGACGGCAACCTCAGAAACTGACCAGTTCAACCCTCCCTCAGCTAAAAAGAAGCAGAGGCAGGGCGTGGTGGCTCACACTTGTAATCCCAGTACTCTGGGAGGCCAAGAGTTTGGGACCCGCCTGGGCAATATAGTGAGACACAATCTCAACAAAAATTTTTACAATTAGCTGGGAGCAGTGGCACAAGCCTGTAGTCCTGGCCACTCAGGAGGCTGAGGCAGTAGGATCCCTTGAGCCCAGGAATTTGAGGCTGCAATGAGCCATGATCACTGCACTCTAGCCTGGGTGACAGAGTGAGAACCTGTCTCTTTAAAAAAAAGAAGATGAAAAAAATAGATGAAGAGACCCACGGCCTATCATAAGTCAGGAGCAAGGCCCCATTTGGGCCCCGTGACTCCAACCCCACAAGTCAAAAGACAGGTGACAGCCGGGCGTGGTGGCTCAAGCCTGTAATCCCAGCACTTTGGGAGGCTGAGGCGGGTGGATCACGAGGTCAAGAGATCAAGACCATCCTGGTCAACATGGTGAAACCCCGTCTCTACTAAAAATACAAAAGATTAGCTGGACATGGTGGTGTGTGCCTGTAATCCCAGCTACTCAGGAGGCTGAGGCAGGAGAACTGCCTGAACCCAGGAGGCGGAGGTTGCGGTGAGCCGAGATCGCGCCATTGCACTCCAGCCTGGGTAACAAGAGTGAAACTCTGTCTCAAAAAAAAAAAAAAAAAAAAGACAGGTGACAGACAGCAGGAGAAGAGGAAATGAGTTCTTTCAGAGGCAAGAACAGCAGCAGCCACCACAGCAGGAAGCCACCGAGAGCAGAGAGCCATTTTGTAGGGCCACCAAGCCATTCAGCACAGAGCCAAATGCCCAAACACCCACAGGCTTCACCTCACTGAGCTGTGACAGGCTGCTGATTATGATCACCACCCCAAGCCATCCAAGTGCTAAGCAGTGTCACACCCTCTCCAATAAGGAAGACAAGAGCGTACATGACACATTTAAGAAAAATTTCCACCCAACATCATTCAAACACAAGTTTTGATGCTTAAAGGGATCAACTTCAGCTATAAAGAAATCTACTTACACCCAGCAGCTCAGCCCCTGATGACACACTTTCTTGTGTCACTGCCTATTCCCAGGGGGCACAAAGAAGTTGTGCACATGGGTTCCAGGAACTGTTTCAGTTGCACTGGCTTGCAGTGGCTGCCAGTCAAAAGTCGGTCCTCTGGTTTCCCCAGCCCCTGGTACTGGCTCCAGACGGCCCTACCTGCCCTACCTGCCCCCTCACTTCCAAAGTAACTTTCACCTAATGCTGTTGACACACACTTGGCAGTGAAAACGTTACCACCTGCTGGGTTAACAGAGCAGGTATTTACTAAGTCCAGCATCGGCTCTACACGCATCAGAAGAGGGTTAACTGCAGAGGGCCTCAGTACAAATTAGGCAGGGGAAAAGCCTGTTTTTCAGCACGTGGATAGGTCCGGGCAGGTGAATTACACCTCTCCCAGCTCCAGAAGAACCAAAGGAATCAGGATGTAACTACACCTACCCCAGGAGGCAGGCTCCTTTGAGGCTGTTTCCACTAACAGAGCCGGCTGGCCTGGTTCCCTCCTGGCTTACAACGTGGGGCAAGCTGCAGCATGCCCAGCCCAGCACCAAGGGAAGACCGTCTGGCCCAGACACCTTTCCTGTAACTTGCCTGGCCCACACCAGCACTTCTGCAGGCCCTCCGGCTGGGAACAGGGACCCCAGAGAAATACTGGGGGTGACAGAAATGGGTTAGGAAAGACCAACTGGGCCAGCTACCAGAGAAAGGAACAAAGCCACATGAAGTCACTTGCCTTAACTTGAGAATCCCAGCTCTAGCACTATCTAGAAATTTGCCTCAAAATAATTCCTAAGAACTTAAGACGCTCCAGGAGGCTGGGTGAAACAGAGCTGACAGAAGTCCCAGTGCCGCTAAGAACCCTCCTGGGCCAGCAGATAGAGCACACTGTTCTTGGAAGCAGACTGACCCAGATACTCAGGGTGGGAAGCTGCCCAGGAAAACTCTGACCCACCCAAGGCCCGGCACCCTCCCATCTACTGGCCTCCTAGCTCATCCCTCAAGAGGCCTTTTTGGTCCAGGCGTGGTGGCTCACGCCTGTAATCTCAGCACTTTGGAAAGCTAAGGCAAGAGGACTGCTTGAGGCCAGGAATTCAAGACCAGCCTGAACAACACAGCAAGACCTTGCCTCCACATAAAATTGAAAAATTAGCCAGGTGTGGTAGTGTGCACCTGTGGTCTCAGCTACTCAGGAGGCTGAAGCAGGAGGATCACTTGAGCACAGGAGTTCCAGCCTGCAGTGAACCATGACTGCACCACTGTATTCCAGCCTGGGCAACAGGGCAAAACCCTCTCTCTAAAAATAGTAATAAAATAAAATTAAAATGTATTAAAAGAGCCCCTGTAATCCCAGCACTTTGGGAGGCCAGTGGGTGGATCACCTGAGGTTGAGAGTTTGAGACCAACCTGACCAACATGGAGAAACACTGTTTCTACTAAAAATACAAAAATTGACCAGGCGTGGTGGTGCTTGCCTATAATCCCAGCTACTTGGGAGGCTGAGGCAAGAGAATTGCTTGAACCCAGGAGGTGGAGACTGCGGTAAGCCAAGATCACACCATTGCACTCCAGCCTGGGCTACAAGGGTGAGACTCCGTTTCAAAAAAACAAATGCCCCCATGTACCCGACACAGCCCACTCTTGAGGCCTGGGCTGAATTTCAGCTCTACTACTTGCTGGCTGTGTCGCCAACCTCATGGGTCTTGACGTGCTCCCCGGCAAATGAAGAACACTGCTCAGCCTGAGCATCGTGGGATGAGTGAAGTCACTCACGCAGCCTGCTCAGGAGGGCCTGCCACATGACATGAACCAATGAGCGGGAGGCGCCATTACCATGTCTTACACAAGCTGGCAGGGTCCTCGAAAACCCAGTCTGAAAAAATACTAGAGGTCTGAGAAGCTGCCAAGGAGGACTCAACCACCCTGGGAAGTTTCAGCCCTCAACATGGATGTGGTGGGCAGCGGTGGACTGGTGAGCAGGGAGGCAGCAGGATGCTGACCAAGGCCAGTAGAGAGAAAGAAAATGCTCTCCTCCCTGGGACCAGGGCAGCCCCTCGCCCACATTCCCTCACCACCCCAACCAGGACACGCCCAGAAAGCCCTGTCCCCGCTACCACTCTGAATTCTCAAAATGTGTTCCAAGTTCAACACTCTCAATAATGAATGACAAAGCCCCAAGTCAGCTAGACAGTCAGAGAGCAAGGCCAGCCCGGAGCGTTCACCTTGGCCAAAAACAGGGGGTTCCTCGTTTTATCTTTTTTCTTTTTCTTGTTTCTTTTCTGAGATGGAGTTTCTCTCTTGTTGCCCAGGCTGGAGTGCAGTGGTGCGATCTCAGCTCACTGCAACCTCCACCTCCCAGGTTCAAGTGATTCTCCTGTCTCAGCCTCCCAAGTAGCTGGGATTACAGGCGCCCACCACAATGTCTGACTAATTTTTGTAGAGACACAGTTTCACCATGTTGGCCAGGCTGGTCATGAACTCCTGACCTCAGGTGATCTGCCCACCTCAGCCTCCCAAAGTGCTGGCATTGCAGGCGTGAGCCACCGCACGTGGTATTTTTTTCTTTTTTTTATGACAAGGTCTCACTCTGTCACCTAGGGGCTGGAGTGCAGTGGCACAATCACAGCTCACTGCAGCCTCAACCTCCTGGGCTCAAGCAATCCTCCGGCCTCAGCCTCCTGAGTAGCTGGGATTACAGGTATGCACCACCATGCCTGGCTAATTTTTAAACTGTTTCTTTTGTGGAGATGGGGTCTTGCTATGTTGCTCAGGCTGATCTCTGACTCTTGGGCTCAAATGATCCTCCTGCCTTGGCCTCCCAAACTGCTGGCATTAAGGTGTCAGCCCCTGTGCCTGGCCAATCTCCTCACTTTAAATGCCACCTGTCCTGGTCTGTACTGGGCCTATGGTATCATTATCTCCCTCTCAAGGAGCTGAGAGCTCTACCAGGCACTCTCGGCTGGGCTGCATCAGCATGGGGACCAGGTCACCCGTGCCACCTGCAGCCACTGCCACATGCTCCACATTCTGCTGTCCCTCACACCGCGCTGACAGCCCCTGCACTAGACTGGGGCTCAGGGGTAAGGGTTGGTGCTCTGGTCTCTGCACCTTCATGGCCTGGCACGACTCAGTGCACAGGCAGTGACCTGGTGTCCTCGGGCACAGCGCTCACCATGTAGCTGGTGAGCAGGGACCACAGGCCTTTAGCTCTGCTCCACATGGAGGACCCTATCATCCTAAGTGAAAGGACCGCAGGTTCTAACCCACACAGCGACCACCAGGACTCCAGTACAAGAGGTCAGGAAGGCTCTGGACAGCTGCGGCACGTCGGCACCCACGTGGCACATGCGAATGAGAGGCCATGGCAGGGACCACCCAGGGGGTCGGAGCCCCACCTGCAGGAATTGGGGTGAGTCTTCCCAGCTACGTAAGAGTGGAAACACAGGGCAGACAAGACAGGAAGCAGTCACCCACAGTACCTGACTGCACCAGAGGTGGACGATCCTGGGGGCAGGAGCTGTGGTCCCAGGTGGGAGATGCTGGAGCGGTAGAGGGGCTGGCTCCCCAGGGAGGGAGGGGCCGCGCTCCAGGGGTTGGTGGTGTTCAGCCTGGGCGCAGACCGGGCCCCGGAGAGTGAGGGTTTGTTGTACGGTGCAAAGGCCTGATGCGTCCCAAACACAAAAGTGGTCCTGTGCGGGGGGTGCTGGGGGACGGGATATGCAGGGAGGTTGGTCATGGAGTGGCGGTAGCGGCCTGACACGGGGCCAGTTCCGCTGCCGCTGAGGCACTGGTGGCAAGAGCAGGCGACGCCCGTGTGGCCCGGTGGAGCAATGATAGTGGTCACCGGGTAAGGGGGCCCTGCCTGGCGCCGCACGCTGCGGCAGAAGCTGGAAGTCTTGTTGGTCTGCGTGTGGGTGGTGTAGTTGATGGTGTAGTTGTACCCCAGCGGGGCCAAGTCCACGAGCTGGTTGCCCCTGGCCACCTGCTGCTCCAGATAGTCACAGACGCTGGCTTCGTAGGCAGTCCAGGAGCCGTCGTCACTCAGCCACTCCCAGACGACACCTCGGCCAGGGGCTGAGTGCTGGGGGAAGAGGTGTCTCCGCACCGCCCGCATGGTGCCTGTTTTCGAAGGAAAATTAAAGGTTAGTCTGCTAGCACTCCCAGAACACATGGAATGACCAAATTCTTTTTTCTTTCCCTTTTTTTTTGAGATAGAGTTTTACTCATATATTTTTTAAAATTATTATTATTTTATTTTTTAAGAGACAGGGTCTCACTATGTTGCCCAGGCTGGAGTGCAGTGGCTACTCATAGGCACGATCCCACTACTGATCAGCACGGGAGTTTTGACCTGCTCTGTTTCCGACCTGGGCCGGTTCACCCCTCCTTATGCAACCTGGTGGTCCCCTACTTCTGGGAGGTCACCATATTGATGCTGAACTTAGTGAGGACACCTGATCGGCATACTGCACTACAGCCCAGAACTCCTGGGCTCAAGCGATCCTCCCACCTCAGCTTTCTGAGTAGCTGGGACTACAGGCACACGCCACTGTGCCGGGCTCGAGTTTTACTCTTGTTGCCCAGGCTGGAGTGCAGTGGCGTGATCTCAGCTCACTGCAACCTCTGCCTCCTGGGTTCAAGAGATTCTCATGCCTCAGCCTCCCAAGTAGCTGGGACTACAGGCATGCGCCACCACGCCGGGCTTCAAATTCTTTTTTCAACAGCCAAAATAAGCAAATAGGTACACAGTAGGTGTTTTATTTCTTTTTAGAGACAGGGTCCCTCTTTGTCACTCAGGCTGCAGGGCACTGATGTGATCATAGTTCACTGCCACCCTGACCTCCTGGGCTCAAGAGATCCTCCTGCCTTAGCCTCCCGAATAGCTGGGACTATAGGCACATGCATCTACACCCAGCTAAATTCAAATCAGCCTCTACAACAGGCATCCCCAAACTTTTTACACAGGGTGCCAGTTCACTGTCCCTCAGACAGTTGGAGGGCCGCCACATACTGTGCTCCTCTCACTGACCACCAATGAAAGAGGTGCCCCTTCCTGAAGTGTGGCGGGGGGGCCAGATAAATGGCCTCAGGGGGCCGCATGCGGCCTGCGGGCCGTAGTTTGGGGACGCCTGCTCTACAACACCTGCCACTTTCATTCCCCGATTAACAATCCCTGCTCTCCACCACAATATACAATTTCCGTGTTATTATTTATCCTGTCTGCTATCTTTCTCAGCTGACTTCACATACCATGACGGCAAGGACTTGGGATCTGACTGACAGCCACAGTTTCACAGTTTTCTCTACGACACTCCTGACAAAGACTAACACAGAGTTTCCAGGGCTGGGCATGGTGGCTTAAGCCTGTAATCCCAACACTTTCGGAGGCCGAAGCAGGAGGATCACTTGAGCTCAGGAGCTGAAGACCAGCCTGGATAACATGGGGAGACAGGGAGACCCTATCTCTACAAAAAACAAAACAAAATAAAACAAAACTCCAGAAAAAAACCTGTTTTTAAAATTTTTAAATTAAAATTAAAATTGAAAAACAAAAACAAAAATAAACCAGTTTCTCAGATCAAAGCACTGGTAACACTCTGGGCCAGTAATTCCTTGTTGCAGGGGCTGCTGTGTGCCGCAGAACGGCGGGCAGCCTCCCTGGCCTCCATCCACCAGATGCCAGGAGCACCCCCACCTCCCACCCACTCAGCTGTAACAACCAACAATGTCTCCAAACATTGTCAGCAGATGGCCCTTTGGACAAATCATCCCTAGTGACAACCATCAGATTAGAGGAAGGGACAGCTCCGAGAGAAAACCAGGGCCTCATTCTCAATAATACTGATCAAAACACACTGCAGGTTCAGTGTGGTGGCTCAGGCCTGTAATCCCAGCACTTTGGGAGGCCGAGGCGAGAGGATCACCTGAGGTCAGGAGTTCGAGACCAGCATGGCCAACACGGAGAAACCCCATCTCTACTAAAAATGCAAAATTAGCCAGGCGTGGTGGCGCATGCTTGCAATCCCAGCTACTTGGGAGGCTGAGGCAGAATTGCTTGAACCCGGGAAGTTGTAGTGAGCTGAGATTGCGCCACTGCATACCAGCCTGGGGCCTGGTGACATAAAGAGACTCTGTCTCAAAAAAAAAAAAAAAAAATTAGCCAGGTGTGGTGGTGTGTGCCTGTAATCCCAGTTAGTTGGGAGGCTGAGGCAGGAGAATCACTTGAACCTGGGAGGCTGGAGTTGCAATGCCAAGATCATGCCACTACATTCCAGCATGGGCAAGAGCGAGACTACCTCTCAGAAAGAAAAAAAAGATCAAAACTCATCGCAGACCAAAAAGCAGAAAGGCACACATGCAGAGGGTGCAGTGGCCTGCCCAGGGCACACAGCCATTGGGCGGTGGGGCAGGGTCCTCTGAACTCTCACGGCGCACTACCTCCATGCCGGTCTGCCTGCCAAAGAGACCCTGCAACCTCTGCAGTCGGGACAGGCATCTCTGCTTTGGAAGACAAGGGAAAGGGACTCCCACAGCACCTCTCCCACCGTGGCTGCACTCAATCTAGGTGGGAGAGGTTCCCACTCACAGCACCCGCCCACCAGGTGTGCTACAGAGATAGGGAAGCAGCTCTGTAGGTCACATGCATCACCCCAAAAGCTAGCACAGAGGCTGTGGGAAAGCAGGTGCGGCGCCCAGGTATCTGCGAGAGGCAGACAGTGTCTTACCGGTATCCTGGCGGAACTGGGTCCAGCTGGGGAGGTCGATGATGTAAGGAGCCAGCGAGGGGTCTGCCTGGCCCAAGGGGATGCTGTGGGCCAGGCTCCCGAGCCCGAAGCGCTGTCCCTTCTGCTGGACAAACTGCTGCTCGATGAAGCTGCAGACGGCGGCGCTGTAGGGGTGCCAGGTGCCCAGCCCATCCTGCCATTCCCACACGGCCACAGCCACGGGGCCAGTGTACACCTGCACCAGGGAAGGGCTTGGGGCCATGGCCATCTTCCCAAGGAGTCCCGCTGCTTTCCCAAACGGCTTCAGACCCCTCTGGCCTGGAGTCCCGGAGTCATTGCCCAGCACCCCTGGCGGTTCTGTGAATGGGACAGACACGTGGTTACCAATGCACATCAGTAGCCCTGCATCAGCCTCAGTGCAGGGGAAAACAGGCTTTTCCTGCAGCAGTGAGACTCATGGCAGCCTCAAACCCCGGGCTCAAACAATCCTCACACCTCTGCCTCCAGAGCAGCTGGAACAATAAGCATTTGCCACCACACCCAGCTGATTTTTTTTTACTTTTCGTAGAGATGATGTCTATGTTGCCAGGCTGGTCTCAAACTCCTAGCCTCAAGGGATCTTCTCGCCTCAGCCTTCTCAAGTGCTGGGATCACAGGTGTGAGCCACCCCGCCTGGTCTCCCGGTTGCTGTTCCTCCCCTAACACCTAAGGGCATCATGAATCAAGTACCTGATCCTGCCTCTTTGCTCTGGCAGCCGGGAAGAATTCAAAGTCAGTCCTGAGCCTACCTACCTCTACACAGGCGCAGGAAGAAAGAGCAGTGTAAATTCTGGGTGCTGGTCACCAGCCCAGTGTTTTTCTTGCTACTGATAATTCCCCTCTGGCCCAACTGCTTAGTGTATCATTTCGTCCTACATGGTGGCATTTTTTTTTTTTTTTTTTTGGAACAGAGTTTCACTCTTGTCACCCAGGCTGGAGTGCAAAATGCAATCTCGGCTCACTACAACCTCCGCCTCCTGGATGGGTTCAAATGATTCTCCTGCCTCAGCCTCTGGAGTAGCTGGGACTACAGGCTCGTGCCACCACACCTGGCTAATGTTTGTATTTTTAGTAGAGATGGGGTTTCACCATGTTGGCCAGGCTGGTCTCAAATTCCTGATCTCAGGTGATCTGCCCACCTCAGCCTCCCTATTAGCACCCCCGTGCTGAAGATGAGAACTCACCATGTCTCGGAAAGACGCAGGGTTTGGGGACACCCATGAGGCAGAGGCAGAGCTGGGACCTGCAGCACAGGTGCCAGCTCCTCATGTCTCCGGGGCGCCCTGGAAGCATCACTGACCACAAAGGAAGCCCTAGATGGACACCAAATCACCTCTCTCTGGCCTCTCAAAGGCTCTCTGCACCCATTCCACTGCCCGGCTCCTACGGACCAGTTGCCAGGCCCAGGGAGCTCTTCCCCACATCCTGAACTCCCCACCTCCTGAGACCTTCTCCTCCCAGTCACTCCAGCCCACCCCCTTCCCTTGTGAATACTCCACATCCTCTAGGCCCAGCGTGAGTCACTCAGGATGACCCATCACGTGCCCTCTGCCCCCTCCACAACACCGACCAGAACCCTAGTGACTGCGTCCACATGTGGCTGTGACCACAGTCTTTCTGCCCCTCCCCAGGTGGCGGCAACCCCAAGCCTGCCTTGTTCACAGCTGCAATGCCAGCACCCAGCAGGGGCATGCCATGTGGTGAGTGTTCTAGAATGTCCTATACACTGCTTCAGAATGACAGTGAATGTGGACAATGATTCCACTCAGCACCTGCAGCTGTGTGAATGAGAAGAGGCCTGCAAATGCCCCACATGATGGCCACCCCCCAGGCCACCAGCTGTTGGAGTGGAAGAACAGGGTCCAACATCAAATGGACTTGTCTCTTCTAAGCTGCACAGGTGACAAGGTGACACTACTGACAAGGTGACACTCCTCCCACTTCTGGACAGGAAACTAAGGCTGAAAGAGGTCGAGGGGACCGGGTGTGGTGGCTAACACCTATAATGCCAGTGTTTAGGGAGGCTGGGACACGAGGGTCGCTTGAGCCCAGGAGTTTGAGGCCAGCCTGGGCAACATAGTGAGATCCCATCTCTGCACAAAATTTAAAATTTAAAAATTAGCCGCCGGGCGCGGTGGCTCAAGCCTGTAATCCCAGTACTTTGGGAGGCCGAGGCGGGTGGATCACGAGGTCGAGAGATCGAGACCATCCTGGTCAACGTGGTGAAACCCCGTCTCTACTAAAAAAAATACAAAAAATTAGCTGGGCATGGTGGCGCGTGCCTGTAGTCCCAGCTACTCAGGAGGCTGAGGCAGGAGAATTGCTTGAACCCAGGAGGCGGAGGCTGCGGTGAGCCGAGATCGCTGCCATTGCACTCCAGCCTGGGTGACAAGAGCGAAAACTCCGTCTCAAAAAAAAAACAAAAAAACAAAAAAACAAAAAATAAAAATAAAAATAAAAAAATAAAAAAATAAAAATAAAAAGAAATAAACCTTTAAAAAAAAAAAAAAATTAGCCAAGTGCAGAGGCACACCTAATAGTCCCAGCTACTTGAGAGGCTGAGGCAGAAGGATGGTTTTAGCCCAGGAGTTGGAGGCTGCAGTAAGCCATAATCCCCAGGCACTCCAGCCTGAGCGACAGAGGTCTTGCCTCTAAAAAAAACAAAAAAAATCTAAGATGATACAGCGAGTGTGTGCGTGCCAATGCCAGAGCCCATGCCTGCTTCTTTTCAGGGGTGGCTCCAGATCCGTCCCCGTTCCAGGGCAGGCAGTCTTACCCTCCTCATTGAAACCTTGATGGGGTAGCGCAGTCTGGAACCACAGCAGAAGCCCAGGGTTCCAGTCTTATCATGAGCCATGCGACTATGAGAACGTCACTGTAACTATCTGGGTTTCAGTCTCCTCATTGGCAAAATGGGGATAAAATAGGATGTGTGTGCTTGAGGGGACAGTCATGGGAATCACCAGATTGTATCAGTGGGGGCCCTACTGGCCAGGGTCCTGCATGGGCATGTTGTCACAATGAGGGTGTGCAGTGCTCGAGAGACGCCAGTCCTTCCCGCCTTTCCTTTCCCCCTCTTTCCGCAGGGCCAGTAAGTGAAGCCCAAGGGGAAGTTCACACTGAGCCTTCCTCACTAAGAAAATGGGCCTTAGAGCCAGATTGACCTGGGTCTGTTCTCTGTGCTGCCTCTTAGTAGTGTTATGTGTGACCTTGATTGAATAACTCAAGGTCACACATATATTACTTAATAAAAGATGACCTTTATTTTAATTTTTTAGAGTCCAAGTCTCGTTCTGTCACCCAGGCTAGAGTGTGGTGGCGTGACCACCACTCACTGCAGCCTCGCAACCTCCTGAGTTAAAGCCGTCCCCCTGCCTCAGCCTCCCGAGTAGCTGGGACTACAGGCATGTGCCACCACACTCAACCGATCTCTTAATTTTTTGTAGAGACAGGGGTCCCACTCTGTCACCCAGCTGAGACTACAGACATGCGCTGCCATGTCTGGCTATTGTATCATCTTGATGGAAGTATCTAAGCTCTCCAAACTTGCTTTCTTTGGGAAAATGGAGTTAACAACATGTATCCTAAGTGCTTTTCATGGGGATGAGACAGACAGGTGTGTGTAAGGTGCCCACATGCAGCACTAGGCATACAGCAGAGAGTCAGCCCACTTTGGCCTCCCTGCCTCTCCTGGCCCCTCACCCCCAGCACCTGCCCACCCTTTCCGTCTCGGGGAGGAATGGCCGAAAGGGCGGCCCTGAGTACACAGCATGAGAACACAGGTGAGTCAGGCCTGCAACAACTCTGAACACACCTGTGGGTGCCAGGCCCGCCACAGAGCTGCCAATTCCTCCAACGAAAGCCCACAACCCAACCTTGAAAGATCAGACCTGGGGTGCCCTCAGGCGGGCAGGTGAAAGGGCTCAGTTCAGTGTCTTCAATTAGAAGTGTCTGTAACCACAATGAGGTACAAATCAGAGGACTACCTTCCAAGCCAATTAATACCGGGTGTCACTCATCTCTCCGGCACCCAGGACTGCCTCCATCATCGGCACACGGGGTATGTCCCAACATGTCCTCACGGCCAGGATGAACCAACTCTCCCAACTCCGCAGAACAGCCTGGGAAATACAGGCAAGAACTCAGCTAAAACCTTCCACGAAGGCATGCAGCCTCCCCAATGGCGGGGGTGCCACGGCCCAGGCCCTGGGTACTGGAGACTCCAGAGGAGGAGGACCAGCCACTGTTCCTACTCACACCAAGCCCTCCACCTTTGACACCTTATATCCAGTCACATCTAATTCTAGAAAGTTCCAGAACATTCCAAGAGACTTACCACCTCCTAGCAATCCTAGGATCAATCCTCCCTCTATACCAGCCCCCAAGCAAACACGCCCATCCTTCCAGACCCACCGAAGTGTCCCCTCTCCTGGGCCCTCTGACCCACACCCTCGCCAGAGTAGGCTGGCTCCACCCACCCTTGTGTGCAAGCTCTTGGCACAGGCCACTTACGCAAGCACAGCCGCACTCCCTGGTTTCAGTGGCCTTCTCCCCAGCAAAACAGAAACTCCCTGAGGGCAGAGCTGGGGCTGCAGCTCTTCAGGTGCCCAATATCCCAGAGGCTCGGAAACACCAAAGGAGAGGTGAGCCTTCTGCTCTGGGGGCACAGGCGCCTTTGAGTCACTGCCCAGAAACACCCACTGCGTTCCCCTTGAACCCAGCAATTACGCACAACACAGCGGCATGCCGCTGCAGCAGGCTCTGCAGCAGCCTCGGCTCAGCCATCACTTAGCTGAAGTTCAAAAACCTAATTTGCTTCAGCTCCTAATGATGTGGGTGATTTAGGGTGTTCTTCATTATGAAAATTATTAGTATTATAATTGGCCATGGGAAAAAGCCTCAATTTGGAGGCAGCCTAAACACTTTACAATAAGGGAATTCTTACACCAATTATGGAACATTCTAATGATGGAATACAAATCAGTCTTAAAAAAATGAAAGGGCTGGGCGCAGTGGCTCATGCTTGTAATCCCAGCACTTTGGGAGGCCAAGGCGGGCAGATCGTTTGAACCCAGGGATACGAGACCAGCCTGGCCAACACGGCAAAACCCTATCTTTACAAAAAAATTACAAAAATTAGCTATGTGTGGTGGTGTGTGCCTGTAGTATCAGCTACTCAGGAGGCTGAGGTGGGAGGATTGCTTGAACCCTGGAGGTCGAGGCTGCAGTGAGCTATGACTACACCACTGCATTCCAGCATGGGTAACAGAAAGAGACCAGTTTCATAAAAATATATAATTAAAAATTAAAAGTCTAGAAAGAACAACACTAAAACGTCACTAGAATTAAAGAATTATGGGGTATTTTTTCTTTTTTTTTTGAGATGGAGTCTTGCTCTGTTGCCCAGGCAGGAGCACAGCAGCGTGACTTTAGCTCACTACAACTTCTGCCTCCCAGGTTCAAGCAATTCTCCCACCTCAGTCTCCCAAGTAGCTGGGACTACAGGCACGCACCACCACATCCGGCTAATTTTTGTATTTTTAGTAGAGACAGGGTATCACCACATGGGCCAGACTGGTCTTGAACTCCTGACCTCAAGTGATCCACCCACCTTGGCCTCTCAAAGTGCTGGGATTACAGGCGTGAGCCACCGCGCCTGACCTATTTTTTCTTTTTTTTTTTTTTTGGGACGGAGTTTTGCTCTTGTTACCCAGGCTGGAGTGCAATGGCGCGATCTCGGCTCACCGCAACCTCCGCCTCCTGGGTTCAGGCAATTCTTCTGCCTCAGCCCCCTGAGTAGCTGGGACTACAGGCACATGCCACCATGCCCAGCTAATTTTTCGTATTTTTAGTAGAGACGGGGTTTCACCATGTTGACCAGGATGGTCTCGATCTCTTGACCTCGTGATCCACCCGCCTCGGCCTCCCAAAGTGCTGGGATTACAGGCTTGAGCCACTGCGCCTGGCCGACCTATTTTTTCTTTACCTGTTTCTGTACTTGCAAATGTTCTATAATACTCACATAACTTTTTTTTTTTTTTGAGACGGAGTTTCGCTCTTGTAACCCAGGCTGGAGTGCAATGGTGCGATCTCGGCTCACCACAACCTCCGCCTCCTGGGTTCAGGCAATTCTCCTGCCTCAGCCTCCTGAGTAGCTGGGATTACAGGCACACGCCACCATGCCCAGCTAATTTTTGTATTTTTAGTAGAGACGGGGTTTCACCATGTTGGACAGGCTGGTCTCGAACTCCTGACCTCGTGATCCACCTGCCTCGGCCTCCCAAAGTGCTGGGATTACAGGCTTGAGCCACCGTGCCCGGCCTTCACCTAACTTTTTAATGATCAATTTTTTTAAAAAAAATTATCAACAACTTAAACCAGGAAAAACCAACCTTGCTTTTCCCTTGCATTCTCTTGTCAGATTTTGTTGCAAATCCCTGTCCACAGGACCGTGGCTGAGGCACCACGGAATGCTGCTGTTCTACAGGAGACGTGTTTTCATCCAAAAGACAAAGGGCAGGCCGGGCACGGTGGCTCACGCCTATAATCCCAGCACTTTGGGAGGCTGAGGCAGGAGGATCATGAGGTCAAGAGATCAAGACCATACTGGTCAACATGGTGAAACCCCATCTCTACTAAAAATACAAAAAATTAGCTGCGTATGGCGGCGCGTGCCTGTAATCCCAGCTACTCAGGAGGCTGAGGCAGGAGAACTGCCTGAACCCAGGAGGCGGAGGTTGCGGTGAGCCAAGATCGCACCATTGCACTCCAGCCTGGGTAACAAGAGCGAAACTCCGTCTCAAAAAAAAAGACAAAGGGAAAATTATCCAAAAGCCTTTTTAGTCTCAGGGGATTTAGAAAAGCTTTAGAACAAGATCTGTGCTGCTGGCACAAGAATCTGAGTGGAAATCATCCTGCCCAACTGTGAACCCCGGGGCAGGTGAGCCACACACTCAGATTCACTGCATTTTGTGGCCTCTGGGAAGACAGTCTTAAATGCAGATTTTAAACGGGTATTCTGGCTGGGCATGGTGGCTCATGCCTGTCATCCCAGCACTTTGGGAGGCCAAGGTGGGTAGATCACGAGATCAGCAGATCGAGACCATCCTGGCCAATATGGTGAAACTCCATCTCTACTAAAAATACAAAACTCAGCTGGGCGTGGTGGCGCATGCCTGTAATCCCAGCTACTCGGGAGGTTGAGTCGGGAGAATCGCTGGAACCCAGGAGGTGGAGGTTTCGGTGGGCCGAGATGACACCACTGCACTCCAGCCTGGGCAACAAGAGTCAAATTCTGTCTCAAAAAAAAAAAAAGAAAAGAAAAGAAAGCCACAGGGCAGTTATGTCTCCCTCTCTAGGCCCTATGATTCAGGCAGTGAGAATAAGTTTCCACCCTTTTACAAGTAGAAACCCTCATACATGTGATCATATGCTGTCCACCAACATGTAAAATAGGCTGAGAGTAGCCGGGCGCGGTGGCTCAAGCCTGTAATCCCAGCACTTTGGGAGGCCGAGGCGGGTGGATCACGAGGTCGAGAGATCGAGACCATCCTGGTCAACATGGTGAAACCCCGTCTCTACTAAAAGTGCAAAAAATTAGCTGGGCATGGTGGCACGTGCCTGTAATCCCAGCTACTCAGGAGGCTGAAGCAGGAGAATTGCCTGAGCCCAGGAGGCGGAGGTTGTGGTGAGCCGAGATCGTGCCATTGCACTCCAGCCTGGGTAACAAGGGCGAAACTCCGTCTAAAAAAAAAAAAAAAAAAAAAAAAAAAGGCTGAGAGTAGTGGCTCACACCTGTAATCTCAGCACTTTGGGAGGCCAAGGGTGGGAGGATCACTTGAGGCCAGGAGTTTGAGACCAGCCTGGGCAACATAGCAAGACCCCATCTCTTTAAAAAAAAAAAAAACACAACTAAACTAAAACTAAAACATAGAAATGTGGGATGTGGCCGGGCACAGTGGCTCACACCTGTAATCCCAACACTTTGGGAGGCCAAGGTGGGAGGATCACCTGAGGTCAGGAGTTTGAGACCAGCCTGGCCAACACAGCAAAACCCTGTCTCTACTAAAAAAATACAAAAATTAGCCGGGCGTGGTGGTGGGCGCCTGTAATTTCAGCTACTTGGGAGGCTGAGGAAGGAGAATCACTTGAACCTGGGAGGTGGAGGTTGCAGTGAGCCAAGATTGTGCCACTGCACTTCAACCTGGGCGACAGGGTGAGACTGTCTCAAAAAAAAAAAAAAAAAAAGAGAGTGAAATGTGGGGTGGGATGCTGTTTTTGACACAGAGGTGGCCCCTATTCCTATTTGTCCTCAAAAGGATCAGGAAGCTCCTTTGTAAAATAGGAGAGTTCTTTTCTTTGAGACAGAGTCTCGCTCTACCACCCAGGCTGGGGTGAAGTGGCACAATCTTGGCTCACTGCAACCTCCACCTCCCAGGCCCAAGTGATTCTCATGCCTCAGCCTCCCGAGTAGCTGGAACTACAAGTGCACACCACACCACAGCTGACTAATGTTTTTAATTTTTAGTAGAGACGAGGTTTCACTGCGTTGGCCAGGCTGATCTTGAACTCCTGGCTTCAACTGATCCACCCATCTCAGCCTCCCAAGTGCTGGGATTACAGATGTGAGCCACAGAGCCCGTCTGCATACTGGGAAAGTTCTGAGAAGCATGGACTGGAAACCAGTGAGAGGAGGTAACTTGTACAACCTCTTCCCAGCTCTGATTCCACCAACATGGTCTAAATTTTCCAGACTCAACCCACACCACTGTTCAAGTCCTATTTTCTAAGCTGTTTCTCTTTCGGGCACTTTCCAAGCAGCCTGGGTCTGAAACTCTACACCCCAGCAGCTGACACAGTGGGCATGATCTGGAACTAGAAATGACCTTTTCATAGTGCAGACGGCCACCTACGGGAGATGCTTTGTTAGAAAGCCTCTCCAAAGACATGGGAGAGTCAAATCCTGAAACAAACACATCAAGGAAATGTTCTACAAGAAATTTTGTTTAAAACATGTAAGTTAGGCCGGGCGCGGTGGCTCAAGCCTGTAATCCCAGCACTTTGGGAGGCCGAGGCGGGTGGATCACGAGGTCAAGAGATCGAGACCGTCCTGGTCAACACG